GTTCCTTTGTGTTGTTTTGTGTGATACCTATGGACAAACGCAAAAATTAATTTATCACAATGTGCAATTTTCTTAACTAAGGTTGAAGCAATTTAGTCTAGCAAACTTTAATATCAAGATGGGAAGTTTGGAAGACCAGGTCAATCTGCATACTTTGCAAAAAAGATTTATGATGTAAACTGTGAACTGGGAGGGAGAAAGCTTTATGTTTGATATCTGACAGATTGAGGCTAAGCACATGTGAGAGAATTTCCGCAACCATACATCATATATAAAGTATACCTGTCATCAAATTCGCCAGGCCTTTCATCTGATTCATCTTCACTGTAACTATCTTCTTCATTCTCACAAATCTCTTCATCTTCTACTTGATTGCTAATGGGTAATTTGGAAAGGATCTCTGTGACGTTCACCTCATCTCTTCTCACTCCTGCAAAAAAATGGGATCATTAGCTTGACACTTGTAAAAAACAAAACCTCTTGAATGAGAGATCAGTAACAATATCAGTTGAGCATCTCTCATTGTATCACTCTGTTCTCTATTAACATATATTTCCTTATTAACGTATTTTGAAACTGATATTGCATCTGGTTACCCTAACAAAAACAGGAACATAAAAATATGGAACATAAAATACCTATTTTCTTGTGCTTTGTTTTTAATTTGCGAAGCTTAAATTTGTAGACTAAAACAGCAAATTTATAGACTAAAACAGCAAATTTATAACAGCAACTAACTGGAAAATATAGAAATAACTTACCCATTTCATTAATTTCTACCACACAATTTAGTCATTCAAGAAACAACCTTCTGCTCTTGTCACAGGAGCAAGTCAACATCCAGAATTTTCCATCCATCAGTGAAAAAACTTTTCTTTGTATTGTGCAAAATTTGTTTGCCATTTATGTAAAGTGAATGATTAAGATTTTGTTTGAATTAAGTCCATAATATATCTTATATTTGGGAAAACTGAAGATAATTGATGCTCTAAATTCTGAGGCATACTGATACAAGTTTTTAGCAAACAAGAAAGAAGTTCCTTACCAATAGTCTCTGCAATGTCTGATCATAATCCTGAACCACAAAGACTGTAGCCAAATCATCAACTACAGCAAACACTTTTGACTGTAATACCGTAATGAGGTATGTTTGGTAATCATCAACAACCTGGTGAATTTTAAATCAGTAGTTTTATCAGTGATGCATAAGTAGATAATTGGAATAACGTTAAGCACCAACTGAAACAAAATGAGATGGTTTCTCAAACAAATGAATAATTTGACCAACTGATCTGAAAAAAGACTTGATCGAGCTGTTCGATTCAAGAGTTGAATCCACACTTCTGCGTCCATCTTGAGACCTTGCTGTGCCGCTTTTGAGAATGGAGAGCATTTATGTTTGGCTTTATTTAGCTAATTTTTCACAGCAAAATTCAAAATAACCATTGAAAAAAGTACTTGCAGCATTGGTGAATGACTTTATAACTTTTTGCATTTTTATTTAGCGTTGTATTTAGCTCATGTAAGGGAGAATCGACTTTTCATTAATTTTCTTAGGCCTCTTGCTCATTAGTTTATTAAAGGATTCAATCGAATTTTTTAACATTTTAACATTAAGCCCAATCTAAAGGTGGAGTTACTCAGTAAAACATTGCAAAAATTACTGAACATTATGTAAAGTCGTGTGTGATTGGGGCCAAATAACTGTCTTTTGTAAATCTGGTAGCTTTTAAAAAAGCTGTTTTTCGGAAATGAACGGTGACTGGCGAAGGAAAGCACCACCATAGTCAATAGAAATACGCTGGTCTGGAATCTTTGCAGAGGAGCCCTTTGTCCTATTGTTTGATCTTTTTGTTCAGAAATTATGTGCTCATCGTAGCGTGACCCTGCACACTCGTGGTACGCTTTTGAGCAGTAATGTGTATTTTCATTTTCTCTCTCGAATTATCGGTTGTTTTCGGTAAATATGCTTATGCCTGGTGAAAACTGTTGTATGAATGGTTGTGGAGTAAGTCGACGCAAAGCTGCGAATAATCCTGATGGAAAGATCGGATTGTTCAAGATTCTCGCAGCCAAGGATGAAAAGTCAAAGCAATGGCGAAAGGAACTATTGAACATTATAACGAAGTATCGAAAACAGGACAAAAGCTTTAAAAGACAGCTAGCAAACGATACCCTTCATATATGCAAGAAGCATTTTGTGCCTGAAGACATCACAACACGTAAGTTGTTTAGCTTAGCTTCTCCATTATCAATTGGCATTTGTGCATTCCATGTACTTAGGCCCGAAGAGCTCTCACATAGAGTGGTTCCTCGTTCCTGTATGCGGCGTACACACAATAAAAAAGAAGTCCATGATCAACATAACCAACTTAAAGGAGGTTTAGAAAATCTATTGATTAGCCTTGCTTCTGTCACTGACAAATTAGATGAGGAAGGTAGCTAATTTACTTGCTGTGTTTTTCAATTGTTTTTTAAAAATCATGTATTATTACATTTTCTATGAAGTGAGTATTTGTAATACCTATTCACGAAAAAGTTATTTTTTGTACATAAAATTAATAGTGGCAAAGATGGAATGTTAAATCTAACTGTATCAATTTGATCTAACCATGGGCTAAATTTGAACATTCAATGCATATGAAAGCCAATTTGAACATGGTGGTGATTTTTATTACAAGATGTATTTTTCAATGAAAAATGTTAAAAGCTATCATTTCATCAACTTTTCTTGCAGATCATGGTGCAAAGCTAACTAAAAAATTTCTGAAATTTGGTGTGCTTCCAACCAAAGAGCTGACAAAAAAATCAATGGATCACCATTTTCCAGATCAGTCCCAGAAAAGCCGGCCCCCTAGAAGTATTGTGAAGGATTCAGACCCTACAGACAGGGAGAAAAGTTGCTACAAAGATTTCAAAGATGTGTGTTCCAGGGTTAAGAAACTATCTATCAAGGATTGGCATGTAGATGTATCTGAGGATAAAATTGAAATAAAGAAACATCAAGTTCCCTACATACTTCCTCGGCTGTGTGTTGAGATCAATGAAAGACTTTGCTTTACTATTTATGTGTTTAACTGGCGTATTCCTGTTGATCATTTTCTATACAAACAGTTCAAAAGGACGTTGAAACTGATAACTATATCAGAGCTACTTCGGATTATTGAAAATCTCAACATCTGCAAAGGGCACAGTGCATTAAGCCACTCAGGGAAGTCAATACAGCACAGCATCCCACTTTTCTTAGAAGAAGATAATGAAGATAACCCGTCTTATGCTGCAAAACATTTTTATCGTGCAAAATATTGTGAGGTGTTAATAAAAGGAGAAAATTGCATGAACTGCCAAGAGAGAGAGAAAGGTTGTTTTGCGAGGATGAAGCAAGGCGTTCTGCAAGACAAGCAAAACTAAAAGCACCTGTTAGCATGACCTCAGCCAAGCGATTAAGGCTAACTTTGCAGGCAAATAGACTCAAATGCAGGCAACTTGAGTCAAAGGTTGAGGAGATGGAAAAAAAGGTTGCAAGGCACAGTGTTTATGTGCAGTCAGACCTCAGCCATGATCTGCTGCAATTGATCTCTAGACATGGGGGCTCAATGAGTCACTTTATGAAGCTCTTTTGGCAGCAGCAGCAAAAAAAAGCTTCAAGAATGCCTAAAGGGCAAAGATACCATCCAATGATAATTAGATGGTGCCTTTCTATAGCATCAAAGTCATCTGCAGCCTATGATGAGATAAGAGGAACATTTAAAGGTACAGGCACTTTAGAGCTCCCTAGCAGGCGACAACTAAGAGATTATAGCAATGCTATACAACCAAAAACTGGGTTTAACCCAGATGTCATTCAGTCATTGGAAACCATCGTTTTAGACTACAGGCCTACAGAGAGGTTTGTGACTACAGGCCAACACTTGCAAGGAGTGGCTGGTGTGCAGAATATCGCAGATGATATCATGGTTTTTGGAAGTACACGTCAAGAGCATGACCAGGCTATTGAGAATCGCCTTAAACGCCTTAAAGAGAAAGGTCTTTCTTTGAACAAGTCAAAATGCCGTTTTCTGAATACTGAGTTGGAGTTCTTTGGAAAGATTTTCTCAGAGCAGGGTACAAGACCTGACAATTGCAGAACACAGGATGTTATTGATGCTTCCATACCACAAAATGTATCAGAATTGCGCAGCTTTCTTTGTGAATTGCAGAAAACAGGTGTCACTTTTCTATGGGAACATAAGCACCGGACAGCATTTAACAAGCTGAAAGCAGCTGACCACCACCAGTCATGGCATATTTTGATGCTATGAAGGACACTGTTAACAGTTGATGCCAGTCTTGTAGGTTTGTCGGGAATCCTATCTCCAAGGTCTGAATGTATACGGCCAAGTTGTTGCATATACTAGCCAAGCGTTATCTGAAGTAGAACGTCAGTATTCCCAAACTGAGAAGGAGGCTCTTATCATTATTTGGGCCATAGAACATTTTTCATATATCTTTATGGTCATTCATTCACATTGGAAACGAATCATATGCCCGTATAAATGATATATGTGAGTGCAAAATCGAAACCATGTGCTCGGATTGAAAGTGGGTTCTTCGCCTTCAGCCATACAATTTTCAAGTCAAATATAAACCAGGACCAACTAATCAGGCTGGCAATACCCTTTCACATCTATTACTGGAAAACAACATAATGGCTGATGAATATGCAAATTTTATTGTACAACATGCTGTTCCAAAGTCCATGACTCTTTCTGAAATTCGTGAAGAAATAGATAAAGACAGAGTTTTAAAAACACATCGAGTTGCAATTCGTCTCAATTGTTGGGATGCTGATACAGTTAAACCTTTTTGATCTGTCAAAGATGAACTGTTGATTGATGTGTCAAACGTAATATTATGTAATATTAAGGAAGCAGTTGACCTAGCAAAAGTGAGCCACCACAGAAACCAAGGCACTCTTATGCGAAAAGATCTGGTTCCCTGGCATTGAGGGACTTGTCAAGGAGACTTTCATAAAAGTCTACCTTTTCAAGTGGTTGGGAGGCACAACCCTCCTAAACCCCTTCACATGATAAAAATACCAAGTGCAGCTTGGCACAAGATTAACATCGATTTTTTCAGTCCACTTCCATCTGGCAATTTACTTCTGGTTGTTGAAGACAGGTAAAGCCAATATCCGGAGGTTGAAATTGCTGGCTCAACCAAGAGTTCTGTAGTTATTCCCAAGTTGGATAATAATTTTGCTGTCCATGGTATACCATTTGGAGTAACGGTTGACAATGGACTATCTTTTAATGGGGGTGAGTTCTCTTGTTATTTAAAGTGTTTATGCAATATAAAATTGTAAATTACATTTTTACAAATTATAAAAATGTTGTCTTTTCTGATCACTTTGATTCTATCCTGGTCAGAAATGATCAGCTTTAGGTATTTTTCCTTGTTTTTTATAATTTAATAGCAGAGGTGTTTTTTTTAATGTGGCTCCTTGTTGGTCGTGATGTAACAAGTATTAGCAAGCAGCAGGCTTGAGACGAGGCAACGCTAGCAGTTCTATTGGTGAAGAAGATTACGCTGTTGTGAGGCTGCAAGGTTTTACACCATATCAAGACGAGCCACTTTCTATTGACTTTCTATTGCTGTGCAACCAACATTTCATTTTGAAGAAGATAAAGATGGGATTCTTCACGCCATTTTGGCTGCCAGGCAGGAACAAGGAATGATTGTGAAAGACTGGTATGTGCTATTACATTTTGCTATTTTATACCTAATTATTTCGTTTCAGAGGAGTTCTCTTCTTGTTTTTCAAAATAAAACTGTCCTTCTAAGTTTAGGCTCTTTCCGGACTGAAATTACTGTATTACCCAGACACATCAAATATTTTATTGTTGTATTTAGCGCAGGTGTTTCTGTGGAAAGTGTAAAGCAGATCGTTTGGTTGGTGCCCTAGAATTTCGTTGCTTCACAGAAGTTGCTGAAGCTAATGGCAAATTGACTTTTGAAGATATTTCATGCATAATCCAGAACGAAGATTACACTGTAGTGACAAAAGAAGCCGTACTGACGATGACTGGCCCCTTATTGAAAGACAAGAATGGTCGACTATACCAAAGAAAGCAGGACAAAGCAAAAACCAGTATCTGTGCTCTTGTATCTTTTTTTCCAATGCCCAGTTACCAACAAGATGGATTTTCCGTTACAAGCAAAGCGCATACTTTGTTTAATCCTGCAATTAAAGCACAACCCAAAAAGTAAAGGCGATGAAGTCTTAGTACCAATAGGATTCAGCAGTCAGAAATTGTGTTTTAGAAGAAATGTTTCACGAAAATCCTGAATGATTCTACACCAGTCCCAAAAATTTACCAAGTATCGTCTCTGTATAGACCTATGTTGTCTTTTCCGTATTTTGCACCCAGCTTAGTGAGGATGAAAAGACCAACCAGTTCACAAATTTCGACACGAAAACAAGTTTTATCTCATGAACAATAGAACTCCACCTAACTAATTAACCTGTATCTAAAAAAATTTCTTTTGTCTAACTTTATCACACCTTTTGTATATTTATACCGCGGTAACAGGAATATTCTTCATTATAGTCTGTCTGATGAGTGCGCAAGCACGAAACTCGAAGTAACAGAGAACATGTCTCATTTCTAGTCCATATTCTATCTTACTATATATATATATATATATATAAACAACATCAAGCAAGCCATTGACAGTCACAACAAACGCATCCTAAAGTCACACGACACCAGCACCACCCCGGAAAATACCAATGTCAACAAAACATGCAACTGCCGACAAGCGAACACATGTCCACTCAACGGGAACTGCCTACAATCATCAGTCATTTACCAAGCCACCGTCACACGCAGAGACAATGAAACTACAGAAACATACATCGGACTTACAGAAAACGAATTCAAGACAAGATACAGAAATCACACCGCATCTTTCTGTCACGCAAAACACAGAAATTCCACAGAACTCAGTAAATACATCTGGACCCTAAAAGACAATAAAATCGACCACTCCATTTCCTGGCGCATCCTCTCAATAAAGCCATCCTACAGCAGCTCAAACAAAAGATGCAGCCTTTGTCTTAAAGAAAAGACCCTCATTATCTGCCACCCCGAATTATCAACACTCAACAAACGAAACGAACTCGTATCTTCTTGCTGCCATAGAAACAAAACACTATTATGTAACACCTAAATCCCTCTATGTACCGCCCCTAATTTACCTTTTGTATAACCTTACACATTATGTAACACCTTCTGTACCGTATTATCTATTTATTCGAGGAATATTCCAGTATATCAACATCTCCTGAAGAGTGAGTTACTCACGAAACAGGCTTGTAGAGATAAACCATGTAGTTTCACTTTCTTCAATCTATGATATATCACGCTCTACGTGCTAACGTATTGAGCACTGTGCTACGGAAGTATCAAAAGACAAATTTCTATATATATATATATATATATATATATAAAGAAGTTTGTCTTTTGATACTTCCGTAGCACAGTGCTCAAGACGTTAGCACATAGAGCGTGATCTCCTGAAGAGTGAGTTACTCAAGAAACAGGCTTGTAGAGATAAACCATGTAGTTTTACTTTCTTCAATCTATGATATATATATACCCAGGAATGCACAAAAACGAGAAAGGGTGAATGGTGTCTGTCCCTACCATGAAGATTAGAAAATAATATTATGTGGAAATAATAAATAGCTGTGAAAAGAAGAAAATAATCCAAGAGATTGGAAATAAAAATAACACTATGTTTCAACTAACCTAATATTAAGGCCAGGGGGCGCGAAAGTTTATACAGATATATATATATATATATATATATATATATATTTATTAATTATCATATTGCTGTCTAGAGTGCTCAACTTACCGGAGCGATTAGATAGACTAAAATAAACAGACTATTGTGACACAACTCTGAGTTTCATGTGTAAACAATCATCAGGTGTATAAAAGAACACAAGCTAACGGCAAGCAAGATATAACGGTGAAAACGAATAATAATGTTAATACTCTTGTAATGGGACACTTGTCTACTGTAATTAAATATAATTTTATATTTCTGAAATTTGCATTTGATTGCAATTTTTAAAATTTTTTTATTTCAAATATTTTCTTAGAAAAATTGATTTATTCCTCTTTGAATTAAGAATTAAGAAACATTTTTTACAAATTGTCCTCCTTGTTTTGACTTTTTATATGAAGCAGTTTGTTTAACAAAAATTACCAAAATGAACCATGTATGAAAACAAGTGTTTTTCCAATGTATTTTGATGACCTTTCTAATAAACCAAGGCTTACAAAAAAACAAAGGCTGTTGTTTGTCTGCTTATTATGGCGCTTATAAGACCCTGACAGCGAGTCCATAGGCCCCTAGCATAATTGTAGTGCATGAAAGAATGTGGCACTTTTATAATGAGATGTTTATCTTTATTCCAGACAAGAAACGTGTTGTGGAGGAAAATGGGTAAACTTCGCCAGAATCAAACTTATGGAGAACGGCTATTTGCCACCAAATATCGAAAAGCATATTACCAACCATACTGCTTACAAGTTAATTGGTAAAATGGATGTTGCCTGCGCAGTTGACAAAGCTCAAAAGAGAAAAGTGGAGAGGCACAACCACAATGCTTGAAACCAGCATTGGTGGCCAGATAGCATTCTTTTTAGGAGCCCTAATACAAGGGATCCAGCCTTGCCATGCTCATTCATGTCTACTAGAGAGAGGGCCAAAGTGCTGGATCACTGTCTGATGTTTTTAAATAGTTTGACTTGAGGCGATGTAAATATGGATGATGATGAAGATGTGCGTTATGGTTCTGACACTTATGTAGATAGGGGTCATGTTAATAACAGCAATGTAAAAGTGAAGGGTGACGGAAATAATTATATTGGGGATGATAACGTTAGTGTGGCCATCACTGGAGGAAATGGTACAGTTAGAGATGGTGGTATGGTAGAAGGTGATTTGGGGAACACATCTACGGAACCAAGTTCAATAAGCAAATCCATTGTATGTTGAGCTGATTACAACTGTTGTGTAATCATTGATGGTGATAGTTCAGAAACTGGTAGTACTGATGACAGAGCTGTAAGACGTTTTTTCCTGCAACTTTCTGTTCCACATTTGTTGTGTCGCAAAAGATCCAAATGAAATCTTTGATGAAAAATGGGAGGGCGGCTGTAGGATTTCTTCGATGCCCTGAAAAGGTCTCAATGTTTTTCTTTCCCCCCCCCCTTTATACTTTTCAAGGCTCCTCAATTAGGTATATATCTGCAAAAAATTGAAGTTTGTTTTATAAACATTTGCTTAACACGCGATTTAAATGATATGTACATAACATATGTATGTCTGAAAATTTGGAAACAATAAATCTCGCGATCCTCCACAGAACTGGTTTTTTTAGAGACTCTGAGAAACTTTGTACCCTGTTTCGCCATTATGAAAAAGATATTAAGGTAACTGATTAGAAGGAACATTATTTGAATGGGTACGATGGGCATAGGTTAGGAAGTTAAGAAACTTTACTGAACTCTGACAACTCTACCTTACTGAATTCTAGTGAAATCCTTGAGATCCTTGGATAATAAAGTAAATGTATGCAGGGTATTTATTGATCTTCAAAAAGCTTTTGAAAGTGTGAATCATAAAATCTTACTTGACAAACTTTACCATTACGGAGTAAGAGGACCAGCCCATCAATGGTCTGAATCTTACCTAACTGACAGAAAACAATATGTACAAGTAAACTGCATCGATTCAAGTTTAATGACCATATTGTGTGGTGTACCACAAGGATCTATACTAGGACCACTATTATTTCTAATCTATTTAAATGATTTAAGATATGCTACTCCAAATTCACTTGTACATTATTTCGCGGATGACACAAATCTTATTATTTCCAATAAAAGTCTCAAAACTCCTAGAAAGTCAATGAATAAAGAACTAGAATCTCTGTATAACTGGCTTTGCCCAAATCGACTTTCACTTAATGTTGCGAAGACGGAATTTCTTCTCTTTAGGAACAATTTGAGCGAAAACAGGAACTTCAACTTCACTCTCCGCTTGAATAACAAAACTCTACATGAGTCCAATCGTATTAAATACTTAGGCATTCTGATCAATAACAAATTCAACTGGCTTGCTGACAATAATCAGACATTTTGTAACTAGTTCAACTCTAAAGCATTTTTACAACAGTCTTTCTAACTCACACCTATCTTATGGATGCATCTAATGGAGAAATGCAACTGGTGATCAACTTGACCAAAAACGTAAACTCAAAAACAGGCTATACAAACAATCCCTTTTTCAGGATATAACGACCACACATCACATCATTTCAGAGACTTAAAAATCTTGAAGTTAGATGATATTCTTAAACTTCAACAATTACTCTTTATGCATGATTTTGATATGAATCGACTACCAAGCAGCTAAAACTGGCTTTTTCAAAGAGTTGTATTTTCAAAATATGCACAATCGGACAACTCGTCTTTCATCCGCTAGAGGACTTCATACACAAAAATTTAATACAACTACCTATGGGCTAAGCTCCCTGCGCTATACTGGCACTAAAGCGCTTAATGCATTAAAAAACAATCCTCTCTTTACAAATGCGACAAATAAAAAAAACCTTAAGCGTACATATTTTCAATAAGGCTTTTGATTCTTATCAAACAATCCTATTTCCCCAAACTATCCTTCTGCGTTTCTGACAGCAGCCCTTTCTTCTTCTATAGCAGTTACATTTAAGAACTGGTAACCTCAGTTGGTATGTCTGGATCGGCCTGATTGTCCGGGTAGGGGTCTGTGAATTAGCTCTGCTATGAGATCCCTTCCCAACCATTGGGTTCTTTTCTAAAATTTTCAATGTCATTAATTTAATGACTTGGTATCATAGATTATGGTAAACCTAGTCCAATGTACTTGTTTCTTTATTTTTTATTAATCATAACTTAAATTGTAATTCTTGTTGGTTGAAATGAATCTCTTATGTCTTACTTCTTGTGTCTTATGTCTAGTGGACATCACTTTGTAATTTGTCTTTCACTTTCTGGTTACCATACCACAGAATAAGGCGAACATGGTTTGAAAAGTTCTTCATGTAGCTGAGCTGGCTCTTCGCTGTTTTTAACTTTGCATTTCTCTGTTCATTGATCTGAGAGTTGAGTTTGTTTTATTGCAAATAATATGACAAATTTGACACTATCAGCCCAAGCTATAAAATAAGTTGTTTTAGAGTACTGGTTGGCTATCTAGGCAATATTGAAGTTTTGACAAATAAGTTTGTTTGTAAGTATATTCTAGTGCAATTTTTCCATTATCAACAACTAGCTAAAGTAAACTAATAGAGAAAATCTGGTGCATCTCATGATTGGTCTCCAAAATAGAATTATACGTAAATGCACAGACCACTCGAATTCAGTTAAAGGGTTATAGACAATTCTTATGTGCGATCAATAGAAAAAAAATTAACATGGCCTTGTCTGAATTGTGTCATGATCCTTGTCATGGAATTAGGGCTGAAGCTAAAAAAAATCTGAAAGACAAAGAATGATTATTACCTTTATGATTCTTCCAATGGAAACGATCAGCAAGAAATAGCGTAGTCTTGAAAAACACGGGGTCTCAATTTAAGCAGTAGCTTTGGAAACTACAACAATTATCACAGATGTACGTGGTGCTAGAATAAAGTTAAAAATGATTCAGTTGTATATTTAAACATCAAATCTATTTTTACAGAGATCTATTGATGTCTTGTCAAAAAGATAAACCAAATCTTTCTTGGTTATTTACATTTAAAATTGTTCTCGTAATTTGCATTAATTACTTCTAACACAATTCTAAAATGAGTGCAGCTTTGCTGCTCTACATTGCCAATATTTGCAAATGTCAGCTACAATAATGGATTCAGAAAACAGAAGGTAGGCTACAACAAATTCAAAGACACACATTAGAGAAGTTAACCTAAAAGGTAAGCTGCTATTAGCATTAAATAGTGTGAAAACCATTAACTATCCTCAAAGCACACAATTACCCTCTTCAATTTGAGTGGAAAAATTGTGAATGGAATGTTTGGTGACTGCTGTGCATCCATTACACTGAATACGTAGCAAATATCTTTTGAAATAAAATCCAAAGATTAGCTCCTGCTTTGTCAGAAACCTTTTTCTAAATCTTAGGTGGATATATTCTGCATTTTGAGACTTCAACATTCTGCATTTTGAGTCCTTAATAAGCCAGCAAAAACCATGAAATTAAATAAAGTTTTTGAATATTTTTCTTAATTTTTGATAGAAAGTTCAAGGTATTTCAAATAGTCAATAATAATTAAAAATAATAATAATAATAATAATAATTCGAATATTTAAACTGGAATAAAAACACTTTCGTGAATGAATGTGTGCCTTGTAAAAGTAGAACAAATAAAATTTCAAAATAAAATTCCCTATTTGCAATTTGCATTGAAAGAAGTCAAAAAGTTGAATAACTAAATAAGTTAAAATATTTCCAAGAATAGACACTATTTCTTATTGAAATTGAAACTTAGTTAAAATAAGTTAGAGGCTCTTCCTCTATTAAAAAAGAATTACAATTTTTTTAATTTCTGGAGAAATTTGATGGTATATCTTTGCTCCTGAGTTGTAAAATCAAAGTTTACATACCATGTTTACAATAAAGATTCCTGGCATTAGCCAAGTATGACCACGATAGTCTTTTGTGCAGTCATGCATTAGTCTATTCTGACCACTTTTCAAAAGGTCCTCCTTATATAATCCTCACTGGTTCCGCTGAGGCCAATTTGGCAGAAATAAAATCTCGATGGGCTGATGCATCCTTGGTTTCAACCAGGTCAATATAGTGCCTTTCTTTTGCAAATGTAAGCTTCAACTTATCTGCCATAGCTTCTGGGATATTTCCAACAGGCAACGCAGTCAGCAGGTTAAAAAGGTTGGAGCTGTACGCTGTAAGATAAGAAGTTTATCTGGTTGCGTCGTTATATCAAATCCTGCCACTATTTTTTCTAGAACAGCATGGAAGACAACATCAGTAGGGAAATAAAAGCAAATGGGTGAGACGGAGTCAATGCAACTGAAAGATCATTTTGGAGAAGAGAATTTCCTACGAAAATGCATGGCACTGCTTGGACCAACAGAAAGGCTACAGGCAGTGTTGAAGCGCGATGATTTTGGCACCCTTGACTTTCCGACAGTGTACCCTATAGACTCTTCTGCACTGGTTGTGACTGGAGAATCTACACGGCCTAAGCCAAAGAGGTCTAAGGCACATCGCCAGGTAAACAGTGTTAACGTTTTCAGAAATGTAACACTTATAGAGACCTAAATTCGCTTCTTAACGGGAGTAACAATTTGCATGATTTATCATATTAGCTGTGGTAAGGTAATTTTCAAAAGTTCTAAAAAATTTTCAGACCATTCGGAACGTATTTGCGCCTGAACAAAAAACGTCTCACAAAATATTGATGGTGATTCCCCCCTGTGGCAGAGAAACCATGAATTATGTAAAGTATGATGATTTAATTAATGTGTGGACCCTAAAAATATTGTCAATATTATAGTACATCCAGTGAAAGTGAAAACCTTAAGAAGTGAGACAAGGCCACCAAAACCTCTTCACCATCCAGTTTATGCTTCGGACACAGATGAAGAAATTTTCAGTGATGAAGAAAATGTCCATCTAGAAGATATGGAAGATGTAGATTATGATATTGAAGAAGACACTGATGAGTCTGATGAAGAGATTTGATTTGATTCCAACTTGTCAAATGATAAAATTGAAAATATCACATTTAGTTGTCATGTTGCCTTAATTGGCTTTAAATTTAAGGCATTTTCATAAATTCATTTCGTATATTCTATTTCAGACATTCAAAGGATGACAACCTCAGGAATGAATCAAAGTTTATTGTTCTTATGTAACAGCTATTGCTGTTGTTTCAGTTATGTCTTGTCTGCAAAACAGCAAATCCTCTCATCACCACACGTCAGATTGGAACCATTGTGGAGGTGAAAACCACATGTTCCAGTATTCAGTGCCCATCAAACGAAAATGTGTGGAGAAGTCAGCAAGATATGAAAGGAACCAAGATCCCAGCTGGAAACCTGCTTCGGTCCTTTGCTACTCTTGTGGCTGGTGCATCAGCCAGTAAAATATTTAGAGTTTTTAACCATATGGGGTTTGTCTTTGGCTACCATCTTCAAGCATCAGAGGGTCAAAAGCTTTTTATTCTTCATTTAAATTTTAATTGCATTAATATATATATGATGATGAAATATAGTTATTCTTGTGTGTAGTAAAAAACTGAAAACCATATATTTTCTATTTAACTTGAATTATGTTATATTATTTATATTAAGCTTAAAATTTGTGTTCTATAGGAAAAAATTATACAATCTGTTTATCTGTTCTGGAAGCAATATCAAGAAAAAACTATCAACGATTTGAAGGAAAAAGGGGAATATTTGCGTAGATGGACAGCATGATAGCATGAGCCACTCTGCAAAATATGGCGCATACACCATATATTGCTGCAACAACAACAAAATAATTGACTTTTCTATTGTTCAAGTAAGTATGCTTATAGGTTTCTTTTCATAAACAGCTTTCCTGAAACTCACTGAATGATATAGTTCAAGCATCAGAGGGTCAAAAGCTTTTTATTCTTCATTTAAATTTTAGTTGCATTATTATATATATGATGATGAAATATAGTTATTTTTGTGTGTAGTATAAAACTGAAAACCATATAATTTTCTATTTAACTTGAATAATGTTATATTATTTATATTAAGCTTAAAATTTGTGTTCTATAGGAAAAAACGATTTGAGACTTTTGTTTTAATCTTATTCACATGTTCAAATTCAACTACACAAAAAAGGTTGCACATTTATATAATAACAAAGGTATCTTAATAGCCTAGAAGATCTCTTGAGATGTGAGTTCTTTTTGCAATCACAATTGATATCAGCATTATGAGCAATTATTTTTCAATTTATCTAATGTTAGAGCATGTCTATTTATACAATTCTTTATGTTTCTTGAATTTTTATTTTAGCGTAATGAAGTTGGTAATAGTTCAGCAATGGAGTTTGAAGGTTTCAAGCAATGCTTCAACAACATGGAGAGTGCTGGGTTGAAAATATCAACATTTGTGTCAGATCGACATATGACAATAAGGAAAGCTATGAGAGTAGACCAAAAAGATTTCAAGCACTATTTTGATTTATGGCACCTTAAAAAAAGTTAGTTGACTACTTCTTATGCAGTTTATATTTGAAAGGCACAAATTTATCCCAAGAGAGATTCAACAAAATCATAAAATTGAATTTTTAATGGATTCGGAAAGCAAGTGTGAAAGGTTTTTTGAAGTGGAACACAGTGAATATAAATATAAACAAATGCATTTGATTATAAAATTGCTTAGATTTGATATACATCACTCAAATCTGGTTCAGTAAACTTCATTCGAAAATTTCCATCCACTCTGAGTCAATTTTGTGGCTATCATTGATTATATTATTTTTTTAGAACTTAGAAAAGAGCTGCTAAAATTTTCAAAGAGGAAAGGGTACAAAGCATCTCCATTGGAGTGCAACGTCCACACCCAATGGTGATGGGCAATTGATTCTTGCAAAATTCCAGTCGTTTTTACATCACATTGCTAACGAGCATGAAAATTTTCCGAACAATTTTTTCAATAAATGTGCGCATTCCGAAAGTATTAGAAAACGAAAATGGGTTGATAAGGCAAGTTTTTTGTATGATTTGTGCATGGAAAGCTGGGCACAAAGAGGCTACCACTCCCTGTATGTGCACATTACGCTACATGCTACGTTTATTGAAGATAGCTTGGTTGGATACGAAGAGGTTGAATCAAATTTTGAAAACGATTAATAAAGAAAATTATATACTTTTAAGTGCCTAATAGACTAGAATGGTAAAGGATAAATTTGAAGTTTGGAATCTTTACTAAGACGTGTGCATTACTTTTTCAAGCCAAAATCAACCTCGATTAATAAGGGGGTAGGGGCATTTATTAGCCACCTAAGAGAATATGCATTTGTTTTTTTTTGTCAATTTGGTTGTTCCTTGGACAGTCCAGAGTGAATTTGTGCCCTTTTTTCAAGTTGTTACACACTGGGAATCTCGGTTGTTGTTTTGGCTTTTTCCTGGTATTTGTTGTCAATGGCTCCAAGATTTCTGCTGAAAGTATAAGCACCAATGTTAGAATGGTACTGCTAAAGCTTTGATGATCAAAACATTGGAATTTCATAATTCTTTGGGATGGAGTCTCTCAAATTGCACATCAATTCATAGAAAACTGTGTTGATGCTAATGAAAGTTAATTCATGTATAGGCTTACACATTCGGTAGATATTTGTTAGTTGTTTGCCTAGAAGGATATTTGTTAGTTGTTATTGTTGTACGCGGATAGATTTTCAATATATCTGACACACAAGTGCTTTCAAATCACACATTAAGACCTGCAAATGGAAACTAGGGTGTTAGTTTGCAAAAGATCATGATATTACCTGGTTTATTTGTTGGTGGAGCTTCATTTGTAACCATCTCTTTATGGGCTAAATGTTTCTCGAGCATGGTGTTCATAGGTGGTGGTGCAAAGTCACTTAATTCTGCTGATGCTACTGTTAAAGAATTGTTTCCAATTCCATCCATCATTACTTTGAAGATTTCCTCGACATAATCTTGAAAATTTCAATAGAAGAGGTTTAGCAGGATCTCACAATAATTTGTTTCAAGATACTATCCTAGCTAACTATATAAGATTCAAAGTCATAGCACCAAAAAACTAGTACACAGTATATTAGAATTTTCTTGTTGTTAAAGGAGCTCTTGTAAATAACAAACCTAGAAAGTATTAATGAACATACTATGTGTTGCATAGAACCGTCCTGCTTATATTTAAATTCTCTTTGAAGATTTCCGTTGAAATGCACTAAAGGCAGTAAATGTCTAGAATAAAAAGTGTTGTTGTTAAAAAAAGTATTTAAAAATTTCATTTTCATTTGGCACCAAGATGTTATGCTTTCAAGTTTAAAGTTTTGTAGAACATTGAAGGTTCAGCTTTCAGAAAAGTCAGTTGTAAAAGTACTGAGTTAGCTATTAACTTATATTGTCTTAGCAAACTTGCAAATAGTGCCAGAATGGCTAAAGGCAAGCATTTTTGGGGCAAAGTGGTTTAGCACAGAGCAGCTGGTTAGGGAAAGGGGCGAAGCCTGTTGGATGCCATTAACAAGACTTTGATTCATTAAAAGCTCTTTGAGTTTGTCGTTCTCTGGTGAACCTGCAATTTAAAAAAACTAACTTTTATTGCATATCATGTTAATGCTCTGATCAATTTTTTGAAAGAAAGCCAATACTAAGTACTTTTCATATTCATTTTCACCAAATCCTAAAGACATTTGGGGGGGGGGGCATATATCGAGAAGATTTGCAGTCAAACATATACAAATTAGGTGTAACTAGGAAAACTTTGCAAATCAGGTGTAAGTCTGATACACCATTTCAATTCATTTTCATAGTTTCACACCTCAGAGTAATTCACTAATTCACCACACTAATTACCTGTTTCAAAGCAAGCTGATTTGTTGTCTGAAAGCTTGCTCTTACCTTTGTCAAGCCATGTTCTTTGTGTGATAATCTTATCACGTGCACATTTATTAAATACTTGATTATCCTCATTTTCATGCTCATTCACGACATGCTGCAAAAAGGAATGAAACTTTGCCAGAATCACTTTCCCGTTGCCACAGTTGTGGATGTGGCTGACCAGAGAAACTCCTTCAAGCATGGGTTGATCCATTCTACCAGTGCCTCATATCCTTTTCTGTTTGCAGCATTCTGGTGAAGCTTCCTGATTTCTATAATATCAAATAGATTTCAAATTATGTTATAATACTATATACACCAAAGACCAAGATACAACTTTTTGTCTGGTTGTTGACTGAGATACGGATAGAGGGACTACCCCTGATAAGTGTAAATAAATACAGCGAAATTTGACTTTAAAAAAATAATATGTACAACTTGTAAAAGTAAGCAGTTACAAGTTTTTTTAAATAGGTAAATAAAGGCAAGTCTTAATACACTGCAAGGTAAACGCCAAAACTGTCCTCACCTGACGATGATCTCTTGATGTTTTTCTTGAGGATGCCGTTGACACAAAACAGATTGGTCTGACAGATTCGAGTTAGGCCGGTGAACTAAGTGTACCCATAGCAAATGTCGCTCACGATCTTTAACTTTATGTGAGAAATGATGGATAGATATTCCCCTTGTATGCTGACTATTTCCACAAATCAGCCCATTCTTCGGGCCACCAGCAACACAACGTTTTCCTCCAAAGGTACAGTCGAAGCTCTCGCATGCGTGTCCGTCACCATTACTAATTCAGCGAATTGAATGGTTACTCCCATCTCTATGACTGCTACTTTCTACGTCATAATTGAAGAATCAAATAATTAACCATTTCACCTTTGATTCCTATGAATCCTAAACTTTGGATGGCAATATTTTCACAACCGAAGAAGATATTTCGATGCCATTTCCTGGAATCTTATTCTATTTATAAACATTTTTTATTTTTAGTGACTATAAAAAATCCAGTCTCACATTGCATGAAAACTTTAAAGTTTTGGGGTGTAAAGTTTACCCCGTCTTCTCCAAAATGGCCACAAGGTAACATGAAAGTCGAAAGCTTCATGCAACCCTTAGCTAAAGCCATACGACAAAAGTAAAGATATGGCTACAAGAGCTGTCCAGGTTCCTGTTGCAATACAGAACAGCACCACATAGTACAACCAAAGTAGCACTGTCTGAACTGTTGTATATTAGAACAGTTCGTGGAGCATTACCAACGTTAAAACCTCACACTATTGTTAATCGGCATAAAGAAGCTAAAGATAATGAGCAGAAGCGTTGCATCTGCAATAAGACCTATGCAGATTTACATCACAATGCCAAAAAAAGTTGTTTAATTTACATTTACCCATGATTCTAGCAAATGGCTATGCATAATGACTAACATCTATGAAGACTGTGTAGTTCCCATTAGGATCAGGGAATCTATCTCTGATTTTCCAGACAATGCATGAATGTATAACTTTCCGATTTCTTCTGCCAAGTTTTCCTCAAAACCATAAAATGTACTGCTGAAATGCTATGTATCGCCAACATCCATTATTTGATGGGTCAATAGGATAATTAAGAAAGTCAGCATTGCTTTGCATAGCCAGTTCTAAGTTGTGTTCAGTTAAAACATTGTTTTCCAGCAATGGATGCTCGTGGTTCTTTATACCATTCTTGCAACAGACGCACTCTTCTTCTTTTTCATCTCACGACACTTGCCACATTCACACCACACAGGTGAATCTATACTTCCTTCCCTTTCTTCAGGTTTTTCTTCTCCGCTGGCGGTAAGGGCCTTCGTAACAAAGATCCTCCAAAGTGTGGGAGCATATTTTGCCATACCTGCCAAAAGTTCTGTGATTTGGCCTTTATCAAGGTTATTACAAACTTCCTATAAAGATGAAACCATTCAAAGTTTCACGTTGACTATACTTTTAATATTTATTGAAACTGCTGAAATAAGTTCATAAGAAGAGGCAGCCCTGCTTTTAATTTTTACACTTCTTTCAAAAATACCTAAAGTAGTGTTGCATTGAGTGTGTGTTGAAGGAGATAACTTTTACACATTTCATGTACAGTATGTATGTATAATGATACTTCTATCATTTGTTGTAAAATGTATATTTTACATGTAATTGTCATTTGTTGTAAGTAAAGATTTGCCAAACAGTATTGTTGTTAAAGGATTGCTGACATTGAATAATACCTTAGCTTGCTGATAGGCAGTGGTTGCACTCCACAACTTCCTGATGTTGAATGATACAACTTCCCCAAGGAATGAATGAAGATTTGCCCCCCAGGTTTCACTGATTCTGAAGACAGGGAAGCAAACCAGGTGGATGAAGAAGAGAAGCTGGAAATGACACTGGGTACTATTCAGCAGGAACTGGGAGGAATAGAAACCCATGCAAGAAAGCAGCAAATGAAATAAGAGACACGCTGAAGGATTTTTTTAATTCTCAAGAAGATGCTGTACCATGGCAAAGTTTGTTAATAAATGGCATTGACAAAACTGATTATTCGCCAGCCAGTATGTTTCAATTTGTACTGCCAGCCAGCCAGTATGTAAATGCTTATGTTTTAACAGAACCCTGAAAAATTTAACTCAAAATTTTACCCTAAATAATTAACTGAAATTCATGTGATAAAAATTAGCAAGTTACCCCATCCCTTCCAATAAACATTGAAAACAAGAAAATTTTCATTAATTTCATTTTAAATATTAGTAACAATACAAAATTATTTCTTTATGACAAAAAATTTGGCTTTTTGAAAAAAAAATGTAGGGGGGAGGTATCTTTGGTGCATGACAAAACCTATGCTAATTATAATCCACAATTCTGGTTTTTTAAAGAATTCTTTGCTTGATTTTGAGGAATGTGTGTGCCACGAGGAACTGTATTCCATCCGTGTTTGATATATTTTCATCAATATTGATAAAATCTGTTGCACTTTCAATTCATTGTATTGTTTTGATTCTTTTCTTTCATGAATAAAATCTCATTTATTTAGCTTTGACCTATCACAAAAAATTCTTAAAGGTTGTCCCTTATTGTTCCCTCTTGCCATTTTGACACAGAGGAAGTGAGGTTGTTTAAAGGCTCAAGTTTTTTTGACTCGCAGGTGGGCTCTACTTGGGAAAATACCATTAGTGTAATCAAATTCAAACCTAGACCCAAAATAAAGGCAACTTGAAACAAGGATATTAAGTTTGTTTTTAAGTTGATCAGAAATATCTTACAACAGTGCTCAAAGGCTCTTATTAAAATAAACACCAGGGGCAAAGCCAACAATTTTCAGAGGGATACAGAAAATATTTTTGCCAACAAAAAAGGAGGTCTCTCAATCTTTTAGGGTCTGCTCATAAGTATATAACCTTATATGATGATTTCATGTGTAAATATTTTAAATTTTATACTACTTCGAAAGTGCTTCTGCTACAGAAACTGCCACAGAAATGTTGATAAATTTATTGTTGCAAAAAGTTTATACAACATGTTGAGAAACAAACTCTCCTTTGCCTGGCAAAAATCGTTAATGTGCCAACTGAAAAAATGTTTGAGGAGGAGGGTGCAACTTACCCTGTATCCACCTTTGGTAACAACTTTGACTAGTGGACTCTTTATAGAAATAATTAATAAATTAACTGCATCTCTTTCAATGGTTATGGTATCTTTTGCAACACTAACATTTTATAAAATATGTAAAGATTAGCCAAGGTAACTTTAAAGAAAGATACAATTTTTACAGCTACAAAAATTACTTATAGTGTACTTTCAATACAGAATATAGGCTTTAAAGTATTAGTGCTATTGTGCTACTCTCTGAATTCATACTCGAAAAGCAACTGTTGAATTTTGCATTTTGCCCGGGCTTTTGATTTTGGGGTCCAACCTTTTCAGTTGAGGCACAAGACTGTGCATGAAAAAGCTGTCCTCATCTTCTTTTTCATTGGCTCGAGAGCTTCTGAGCTCTGCTAAAATCGCAAGTTCTATTGCATTTGTTGAAGCAGCAGTTTCTTTCTTTTCCGTTTGCCAGAAACATTTGGCTTTATTGGCTAAAAGTCTGTCACTGAAAAGCTGCTTTCCCCCCTGCTCTTTTCGCTCCGTTTTTCTTGCTGCTGCTTGCCAAATTGGTGCTCTCCTCTTTATGATCGAATAGAGAGTCATTCGACCCAATGCTCATATCGACATACGATGCATTCACCAAATCAAGTTGAGAGGGATCAACTGTAAAATTTATAACGTTTTCTAGTGTTTCCTCTTCACCATCCGCTTCGTCAGTGTCATGGTCTAGGCCAATTCTCAAAAAATTTGAGACAGTTGGCACTTCAATATTAAAAAATACCTTGCTAAATTCCATGGCTCTCACCCATGGCCACCTAATTTTCTTTGATCCACCAGTATCACCAGATTTAGGTGCTGTTGCTTTTAGTTTTTTTCGATATGTGTTCCTCAAATCGCGCCACTTTGCTCCCTTCGAGTCCAATATTGCTGGATATTTTCAGCCAAGCAGCCTCTTGTGCGTTCTTGTTTTTGTACATTGGACTTCCCGTGTTGCAAACGATTTCATTTCTGTGCACTTGCTCAATTAACGCATTAACTAAATCGCTATTCCAATCAGTTTTTGAAGACGCCATCTTTGAATCTGTGTGCACAGAAGTGGTGGTCGTCTAGAAATGCAGTGTTCTGATTGGCTAGGGATACCCGGGACCTTTCTGTTTGCAATGCGAATTGGGATGAAAAACGAAACTTTCGAACGCCTCAAATTTGGATGTGAACGTTCGGATGTGCCATCTTTTTTCCTTTAACACCATAAGCAAAGATATTTCAGACTAAATAAAACAATATGGTTTAGTAGAATCCTTATACAATTCATAAACATTAAACATAAAGTTTCTTGTACAGGATGAAAAACAGGGATATCACTGGAACAAATCACAAGGTACCTTACATCCAGCTGTTGTGTTCACATAGAAGAATGGTCAGACGGAGGATCACTCCATTTGCTTCATGTCAGATGATCTATATCAGGATGTAGACATGGTGAACCAAATTTTAAAAGAAACTTCAAAGCACATAAATGAAAGTATCAATTCTTGAGTGAAATCTGTCAACTACCTCTTTGATGGATGTGCTGGCCAATTCAAAAACTGTAAGAATTTTCTCAACCTATTCTTCCATTATGCTGATTTTGGCACTAATGGCACATGGTCATTTTTCGCTACAAGTCATGGCAAGTGAACATGTGATGATGCTGGGGGCACAGTTAACAGAAATAACATCACGAGGACCATTTGATAACCAAATTCTAAGTGCAGTTGAAAAGTTTGAGTTCTGCAAAGAGGAAATCAAAGGAAACAACTTCAAATTCATACCCAAGGAAAAAATGGAAGTAACAAGGGCAAACCTCAAGACAAGATTTTTTAATGCAAAGTCAGTCCCTGGTACTAGGAGCTATCATCACCTTGTTCCTTTGTCCAGTTCGTGCATTGGTGCAAAAAGAACCTCAATTGATGAAGAATATGCCCTAAAGTTTGATTTTGCATTGAAAGTATAGCGAATTCGTATTAGCTTCTCACTAAATTCTCTTACAATCTGTCAGTATGATCGAGCTGGAATCTGAAGAAATACTGGATCAGGCTGTTAGAGGAAATTGATTCAGTTGAAAAAGACATCCGAAATGCAAGGTCGTATTTCTGGCCAATGAGGGCTGTTGTATGTTGGGTACCAGAGGAAGACATACTTTCCATAATTTATGCCCCAACAACAGCAACTGGAAGGCAATACAAACTAGTTGCAGCTGATGAGGAAATCTTTACCAAAATATTTTTGAAATAGCATTGATAAGTCTAATGAGAGAGAAGTAAACTGAGGAAAACCAAAATCTAAGATAAGCACATTTGTGGTTTTATTCAACAAAATTAGTCTTAACTCAAATCAACGTAAACAAGGTAACATACACAAAAGGAACGAACTCAATAGCAAACTCAATAGCACGCATTCTATTGTTGTAGGATAAAGAAAGGTTAAGGTAATTGTCTTTCATAACATTCACCCCTGTCTATAGACCAAGCCTATCCACAGGACGCTGTTCACGTTGTGACCTTCTAAGTGGTACAGGAGACTGCTCTTTAGCATTTGAAGATGACGCAGGTTCAACAACTTTGGTTACATGTTCTCAGGGGCGCCTACACAAGGGGGGCTGGAGGGGCAGCTGCCCCTCCTGCCCTCTTCGAAGAGGGGCAGAGGGGGCAAGAAGTGCCCTGAAATATGATGACTACTTTGACTACTCTCGTTATGTTAATATATATTAGAAAATACTAGAAAGATGACAACACCAGCACAAAAATGCAGAGAATGAAAAGTTTGTCTGTGACAAGGTAGGTCACATAGGGAGAGCGGCAAAGATAGTAAATGACAAACAAAAGATGTGTTCCCTCAGAAGTACTCCAGGAACCTAAGGAGGATAAATCGGTATAAAAACTGAGCGGGCAATCAAAATTTTACAACCAGCCCATTTACAACAGCCATGATTTTTATAAAACCAAATATTGTAAATAGTGAGTGACAAAGCAATTTAATAACCATTTTCATTTATGGATAATTTCGTCAACATTTTCTTTATGTTTAGAATCTTTGTTGGTAAAAAACCCAGCTGTCTGGGTGGCACATATTCAAGTTAATATTTTATTATATTACCCCACCCTCGCCCCCCTCCCACCTAGGAATGCTCGATTATGTTAATAGAAAAATTCAATGATTTGCCTTCGGCACCAACACTGCCCCTCCTGCCCTAATCTTGTGCAGGCGTCCCTGCATGTTCTTGGGTTGGGTCAGCTGATGCAAGACTGGGTGATTCTGGCTCACTGACTAGTGATTCTGGCGATTCTGATGGGGTTTCATCTAGAGAAAATGGCAAGTTCTTAGTACGGATGAAATGCCAGAATCTTGTCACATCGGGGTGAGACAAAGAGTCATGTAGCTTATAGAGAGAATCACTTGTACTTGTGGCACAGTTAGCTCGGGAAAATGTGTCTGGAGGAATATTCTGTTTACCAGGCCTATATACAATGTCAAAGCTGTAACAACTGAGCTCGATTCTCCAGCGCATTATTTTGTCATTCTTGATTTTACCTTTATGATGCTGGTTGAACATGTAGGAAACTGATTTATGGTCATATTTAAATGTGAAATGAGAACCTGTGAGAAAATGTTTCTTGTGTCTTATGGACTCGAAAATTGCTCGAGCTTCTTTATCCACTGCTCAGTGTTTTAGTTCACTGCCTTGTAGGGTGCGAGAGAAAAATGCTACTGGTCTACCGTTCTGGTTTAGAGTAGCTGCTAAAGCGACATCAGAGGCATCAGTCTCCACTTCAAAAGGAATGGTTTCATCTATAGCAGATACCACAGCTTTAGCAATGATGGTTTTTAATTCTTCAAATGCCTTCTCTGCCTCCTGAGACAAGGGAAAACCCTTGTGACTGGTTACGGGCTTCATTCTATCAGAGAAATTTGGAACCCATTGAGAATAATAAGAGAAAAGTCCCAGACACCTATTCAGAGATCTTGAGTTTTGTGGGAGAGGTAGCTCTAGCAGAGGCTTTAGCCAGTCTGGATCTGGACAAATTGTACTTTCCTCGATGACATATCCCAGTAATGGAAGACGCCGAGTTGAGAAGACACTCTTGCTTTCATTGAATTTTAGATTAGTCTTCCGCGCAGCTTCCAGGAACAGATCAAGGTTTTCATCATGATCAGCTTGATCTTTTCCGCAGATAGTTATATTGTCAAGATAAGGAAACACTGCTTCTGAATTATTATTTTAAACAAATCTCATCATTTCTCTTTGGAAGCATGCCATGCCGTTAGCTACGCTGAAAGGGAGGCGAGTAAATTGATAAAGCCCACCCTTGGCTTGAAAGGCAGTGTAAAGTTTGTCTTCTTCTTTCAAAGGTATCTGGTGGTAGGCACTTTGAAGGTCAATTGTACTGAAGACTCAGTACTGTGAAATTTTGTTCTACAATCTATGTCTGTTATCACAATCTACGTCACAGTATCACGTGATTCATTTCCTGCCATAATTTGAAAAGGGTTTTTAAGTAGGAAAATGAAATCAGAAAAGAAAAATATTTCGACAGCACTCTCATACAGCATTTTACTTTGAGTTAAAAGAAAAAAAATAATTTGGCGCCAAAAGCGTCTCACTTGTCCTTTAAGAAATTAAAGACAAATTTTTGAAAATGGATCGTATGAAAAATCGGCGCTGCCACCATTCTTAAGGGCGTAAACAGTGATATCAGAATTCAAAAATGGCTTTGAAAAAATCAAACATTTTACGACCTACTGAAAGCTTTTTCGTCGGACACTCCTCAGAGCATAAAGCGTCAGAATAAGGTTACGAAAAAACGCAATGGAAAATATATACCCAGTTGTGGATTGAAATAGGCCAATCAGAAAAACGCAAGCACAAGACCAGTATAGTTGACCAATCAGTGCCGCGAGCCTAAAGAAAAATTACCACTGGAGTCCAAGAGAGAAAACGAACTCCCTCTGTCTACACAATGGCAGCTTTTTTGTTTTTATGTAGATCGACTCTAAAACTGCTTGATGGAAGGACGACCAGGCTCTGCCAATTATCCGAAAGATGTCGTCATTATAGAGTTTTGTATATTCTGGGTTGTCTAAAAGATGTTGACCGATGGCAGAATCACTTGTTTTAACAGTGTTTCTAGACCCACAAGATCGAGGAGGATGTTCTCTTTGACTGGCAGTTTTGTTTCTGATGTTAGAAGGAACATGCTGTTTTATCCTATCCCCCAATCTTTGGGTTGTGCGTCCTACGTAGCTAGAATTACACTGAAACGTAATTCATAAATGGCAGAACTTTTTTGGTTGGTAGGAACGCAATCCTTTTTAATGGATTGAAGGGCTCTCCTAGTGCTATAAACAATCCAAGGATTGACAGCAAAGAAACATTTGGTTATGGCTTGCCTAATCTGACTCTCGAATCGCAAGGAATTGTTACCAATCCATGGTAGTTTCAAATAAACTGGGCACTTTTGCAGACCAAACTTTTGAACAGCTGAAAAACTTGCGATCTTCTCCTAAGTATAAGATAAAATGACATCTTCTGGATAGCTGTTTTCCAGGAAGATCGTTTTGAGTTTTTCCAGTTCAGCGTGCAGTGTAGATTTCGAGCAGATAATAAGTGGCCAATGTACTAATGTTTTGACAAGGTTGACTTTGCGTTGTTTTGGGCAAAACAAATTTCAGCATATGTACTGACCAGTAAAGGTAGGCTTGCGATATACACTGGTAAGAAATCCAATGTTAGACTTTTCGACCAAAACATCTAAAATTAGACATTAAACTCTCTAACCGAGTACAAAGCAACTTAATCAGCCTCTTCTTGTTATCTATGTTCGCCAGAAATGCTTCCCTGCTACAAGTAACTTTTGAGCTTTCAGTGATTTCAATGCTAGCTGACGTTTTGCTCATTCAACAAAGATGCTCCTGATGTCCGCCACTTTTGTTGACATTCTGTCTGACTATCCATCAAAAACAACGTTTACGCAAGTGTACTTCCCAAATCTGTGCATTACAAATGCAATGTACTGTTCAAGAACTTCAGAATACGTTGATTTGGCCAGTGGACTTTGTGGAGCAATGCATCACCATCAAAGACGCAAACGTCATTAGTAGTCGGGATAATTGCATTCTCTGTAGCCAGTAGGTGATTTCTAAGAACAGCTTTAGCCGATTTTCTCATCATACCTTGTTTAAAGAGAGACATCGGCTCTAGAGTTAGTTCATAGCAGAAGTTTTCAGTAAGGGTCATTTGGAAGTTAGCCAAGTCAGTCAAACGGCTAAATAGTTTAGTTGGATTGATGGTCACTGTATTGTTCCCAATTTTCGTCTTAGGCAAGAGATCTTAAAATGTTTGAACTCTTTCTTTTCTCTTGATGCTCGCATCTTCCATGCTCCTGTTATCATGTCGGTTTTGAATATTTCGTTCAACATTCTCTGCTTCATCACAGTTTACTCGATCATCAGCAATCAAGCCAGTTGAAAGACTTTTGAGATGTTGCCCGTCTTCACCAAAAGGGTTTTGGAGATCAAACCATTATTTGATTAACGTAAGATCTTTATTGTCTCGAGACACTCTGCTTGGGCCTAACTGAACATGCTGTTCACTTGTTTTCCTATATGCGCTAGTCAATTCACTCATTGCATTGTGTATGTCTGCAGACCTATGCATACTTCTGATCCATAACTGGTGAGTAGATTCCGAAATACCTCTTCCTCGTGTCAGACCACCATTGCTCTTCAATGCTCTCATCATCACCTGTTCAATGACCAAATCTGTTCATAAGCCTGACAAAAATCGCTCGCTGCGCCTGATAGTGTGCAGATTGCCTCTTGCAAATTGATCATAGACCCAAGGATGAGAGCATGTCATGTAGATGCCACTTGCACATTTAGCATAGTTAACATGGGCTGTAGCAGCGAATAAGTTCAGCATTTTCTTAAAAGACACCAAATGCAAGTTCCAGTCACCAGTTCTCACTGCACGAATAAACATTTTTACCACAGCGATGTAATCCAAATATTCACTGATGACGTCATCATGTTATTTGTAAACTTTGTTGGATTAAGCGTGGCATATTTCAAAGTATTGGTGCAAAGCTTGAACCGTTTACAATATGCAGTTTATGGTATATGATTTCTTTTCAGCAGAAAGGTTCGCAGCTAAATATCAAAAGTCAGAAAAATTGTTGACAAACCCCCATCCAAACTAGCGGTTATAACTTTTTTTGCCCAAAGACCTCAGTATGAGGCTCTCAACATGTTATTCTCCATTAAATTTTGATTCGAATGTTATAAAGTTTGCTTTTAATGTAGCATTTAATTTAGCATTTAATTCTAGGTCAAGCCACAATTCGACCAGACTATAAGGAATGAATTAGCATGTTCATTGCCAAAATTGTTTTGATACCTAATTGGTCGTGGATCCCAGTCATACAAATTGGGTTTTGAAGCCTTCTTTGACTCATAAGTGGCACAATGCACCACAGTTGGGTTTTTAGCTCGTTTCTTGCCATTGGCATGGCTTTGAAGTGGAAGGAGCTTTGACCTTGGTGCCATTAACTTCAATAAATTGAACTATTTTCAACAAAAGGGCAGAAACATAGCCGCATCTACTGAATGCTGAAGCCTTACAGGTACATGAGGCCTGCTGAACTGAACCACGGTTATGACTTAGGACAATAACAACTGCAAGTGGTAACTCGTTTTTCATTGAATGATGCACATGAGCTTTCCAGAAATAATAATTGTCATCTGTATAATCAACATAACACTCACAAAGCCACTTTCATTAGATTCATGCCTTTACGAAGTGGTCTTGCAGTTATAGCTGAAAAGTTTCTGTCATCATCTTCCGTCTCACTTGAGGTATTCTCCCTTAGGCCGAACTGCGAAACTGACTCAATAAGATACTGATATACATTGCCATAGAATATCGGCAGTTGGAAAGTTCCCCAATCCTCCACAGGAATATCTATGTTTCTGGGTTGCATCGATGATCGTGTTTGTCTTTCTTGCCCTTTCTTTTCGTACCACTTTCCATGATCAATCTTCAGATCAATACCTTTCTTGAATGCAATTCGTGATCTTACTCTGTTGATAAGATCCTGTTTTCTTCCAGATTTCTTCTCGCCATGGCATTCTAACTAGCATTTGAGTTCAAGAACAGAATATTCTGCAGGATCTCTGTTGAAATTTGCACCTGGAATATCCAGCTCTGAAAGCACAAGTTCTTCCATTTTAAAAGGCTGATCACCTACGGCAGCAGTTGCACGACTCCTTACCCTTTTTTAATGAGCTTGATTTTTCGAATAAAAGGAATTTTGTAACCGCGATCCAAGGATAAACAACATGGGTCGCGCACAGATCTTACAGCAAGTACATGGGGTTCAAACATTTTTGTCTGCAAACCTATCCCATCATGCAAAGCGTCATTTTGATGTGACGTCATTTGAAAAAGAGTGCTATTAACAGGGCACAATCTTTCCTATCAAGTTTACTATTGCTTTGTTTTTCTAAGTCACTGAAAACTTCAGAAAGAAATCCAGGCTCACAGTTGACTGAGGCTGTCCATTGTTTGATTGATGGTGGGTGTGGCATTTTGAAAATTTTTCTTAAGAAGCTGTTAGCTTTATGGGAGTAGAAATTTACAGTTGAAGCAAACTTTTATAATTCTTAGCGATAACACATTTGTTGAGGGGTGACTGATAAATTTCTTATTTCATTCATGAATATCTCTCTGGAAATTCCAAAAAACTTTTAGTATATCAGCTGCTGAAAATGAAAGCATGCTTCTGTTTTTCATTGTATCAATGATATCATGAAGTAAGTTGATTTTTTATCTCTGCATCACAGCTTTTGGTTTAGAGTTTTGATTTTACGTTTTAGCTTCTTTTTGGCGAATTTGCTCCAGCACCAGTTGCAACGTAGGCAGATTTTTCTACCCTTTGTTTCTTGGCTGTGATTCCTTCAGGTGATTAGGATGTTTTCCTTTTCAATTCCTGCCTGTTTTTTGGTAGAGCACGCTGTGGGTATTTTGGAAATTCAGGGAATACTGATGGGATGGCAGTTTGTTTCAAGCAAGTCTAGGGTTCTCCTGGTGGAACTTTGTAATCAGATGGGAGAAAATGTTGGCTACAGATATAAGAATACTTTATTGGGCTCCGTTTCCAACGCCTCGCAGCAGCAATCAAAAGTTTTTGCCTCTTCTCCTTTCCAAGGAATCTAGCTGTGCAAGCCGTAGGTAGCAAGTACCAAATTATAAGAACTTAATTAGGGTGGCTATAAACTTAAAAATCTAAACTGAGAATACAGAAGTAAGGTTATGAAATTCAGGACTTTTGAATGTAGCCCCCCTCCAGAGGATCAGACAATGTTATATATCTAAATGTTATAAAATTGTTAACAGGGTCCTCAATAAACTACACACTTGAAGGAAGTATTTTGCATTACTTTAATGCTTAATTTATTAATAACGTTGCTTAATGTATTTTGCATTTTATTAATAACATTGCCTGCAAAGTTGACCTTACCATTCCTGATATTCCGAGAGAGAATTCTGACCAGTTACAATGAGGTAAAATAAAGAACAGTTTCAAAGAGAATTAGGTTGGTTTGGCTGCAATAATCATTTCATTAAATGTTTGGAGGATGGATTGATTTGTGCATTTGTGAAAAGGAAGATCAGTTTCAAAGTGAATTAGGTTGATTTGGCTGCAATAATTGTTTAATGGAAGGTTTAGGGGATGAATTGGTTTGTGCATTTGTGAGAAAGAAGCCATTTCTGGGTGCCAGTGATCCAAAATGAGCTAATTAGACTATATTTGTAGCTTCAAGGACACAGCCAGGCACATCAGAGGCTGGAATTGTTTTTTTTGAGAGCTAAAGATTTAATTTTCCAACAAATCTCTAGAAAATATCAAGATTTCAACATTTTCTCTCCAATTTTGCGGTTTAGACTGGCTATAGCCCCATGTCCACCTGTGGCCACATGTACTACCCAGGGCCGACACCACCTGGGGGGGCAGAGGGGCCATGATCCCCCACCTTTTTGTAGATCAAATAGTTTCAAAGCTGCAGTAAAAGAGAAGAAAACCTTGGCCCCCTACTTTTGCTAGCCTTAGCCCCCCCACTTTCAAATTCGTGGAGAAGGCCCTGCTAACCCCTTCGAATTAATTCATTGTCTCCTAGAAAAATATTGCAATAGTTAAATTTCTTTTCCAGAAATGATTTCATTTTGTTTTATTAACATGGGTAAAGAAGATTTACGAAAATGCTATAAGAGAGTTGTAACTAAAACCAACCAATGAAATGAGATGGAGCTAGGACTAGCTCCATCGTGGCTTGTTTCTGTTTTAGAGTTATAGCGATCTGCCTGGCTTCCATCCCTGTTTAGACACAACTTTTTCTTGTCAATTTGTGGGTTCTGACAATCAAAACAATGCACAATACAACCATTTCCAATCGAACTTCGAAATGTATACATGAAAACTTTGTTGCCATGCAAAATGAGACTCTGCGGAAATCACTTCCACACTATTGTGTTGTTCCTCTAGAGTATTCTATTCACCTCATTGAGGGGCTGAGAATGAGTGAAATTTTCCCTCCTTTCATGATGGGGCTAGTTATCATTTTGGGTAAGTAGCACAATAACAATGGCTGGCAAAGAACAGATTGCAAAGAAAAATTCAAGTTATTAATGTTAATAGAACTACTGATAGCATAGATGTTTGATTTACTTGTTACAAAATAAGCCTATTTGTAATGACATAAGATTTTACTTTCACTGACGATATATGTTAGCAGAGGTAAATACCCAAAACGAATACGCAATTACAAATAAACCATATATATTATATAGTGATATGTTTATTCAACTTTTAAAATAAATCAAAAATTCTAAATTTAGGTTCATTTGCATTGGATGAATAAGATATTACATAAAAACGCTACTAAAGGACTTGTGCCACCTGATTTGGTACATAGTTTTATAAATATAAATAATAGCTATCTACAAATGTCTGCAAAATATTTTCATCAAATAGTCTCACTACTTTTTATGGACAGTTCTTAATTTAAAGTTTACTAGGGCCATAATTGGAAAGTCATAGTTTTACAAATCAAACTTGGCCAGTGCTTCTCCAAACATTCTTTGGTGATAAGGATGTAATTTACCAGTGAGAGATGCAATGCACTTCATCAACAATAACATTGGGAATTTTTTCGCAAAAACTTTTTGATGAAATAACTTCCCTTGGATTTGAATAAAATGCTGCCTTGTGTGTTACAAACAAAACCTGTTTATAACCAGACCTTTGTATCACGTGACCCTATGATGTACATTGTGCTAACTCGGAATTTTCCTGACATTAATAGAGAGTTTACGAAACACGACCCGACAGGTCCAGACGAACTGAATTAGTTTAGAAGCGTGTTGTAAACTTTAATATTGCACTGTATACCAGTAGCAGCAATAACAAATTATCACAATCTACGTCACAGTGTCACATGATTCATTTCCCGCCATAATTTGAAAAGGGTTTTTAAGTAGGAAAATTAAATCAGAAAGGAAAAATATTTCAACAGCACTCTCATACAGCATTTTACTTTAAGTTAAAAGAAGAAAAAATTTGGCGCCAAAAGCGTGTCACTTGTCCTTGAAATTTTTTTTGATCCAGTTATTTGTGTGCATAATGCTTATTGAAAATTCATTCGTTTATTGGATTTTCTTGAAAAAAAATAATAAATAAACAACTTGAATTTACTTCATATTTCAGCGTGAATTCTTTAAGGGCTTCCAAGGCTTCTCTGTCCTTGTTACCAAAGGATACATTTCCTTTATACCTTATCCGTAGCACTCTACTGCGGAGTCTGCAATAGTATAACAAAATAAGATTTAAATAAGTTGGAAGTAGATAGATGAGAAACATTTGCACTTATTGATCAGTCAATTCATTCATTTATTAGAACACTTATTCATAAATAAATTCATTCGCTGATTATCCCATTCAGTCGTCTATCAATACGTTTGTTCCTTTGCCAATGAATAATTTCTCAGTGTGTTGAGTAGCTTGTTTTTCCAACTTTTTAGCTAATTCATTTATTTGTTTACGCATTTATGCATTCATCAAGTCATACATAAAACTTCCAAATTAATAGTTTTAAACATTTTTTTAACTTTCACTTTCAGGCTCGTTAGAAGATATCAATATTCCAGAAGATTCTGGTATCTCAAGACCCCGTGACAACGACCCTTGGTAAAGCTTTTCGTGGTAGGCCAATAGATGTTCGTCAAACGGCTCTGTCGATTTGACATTGTTGATAAAATGTACTAAATTCGTTTTTTTCTCTAAAGATTTAGCATTATTTTTCTGCAAGAAAACCAATTTTAATTGGTAATAAAAACATTTAGCTAGTTTCTACTTTAAACTTGCTATAGTGAAAAATAATCGGATTCGACAAAAACAAGGGACTTTTTTCAAGCATATTTCTAGCAACTCTCCTATAACCACCGGATCTGGACAAGTATTTCTGATTAGTACAGGGCTTTATTCGATTTAAAAAGTAGGTTTCATGTGCGAGAAACTATTGGGTTTATGTGAAATTGAATCTTAAAAGGACGATATGCCACTAAGTAGAACCAAATTCGAATAATGCCTTTATGATGTTTTTAAACAAAAAATAACTTAGATTCCTGAAACCATTGAAATGAATTTATCGTATACATACACTGAAGTACCACATTGGGTTTGGTTACCACCAGAAATCATCAATTTGTGTTGACGTGTATTGGCACCTTGTCCAAAATGTAGAAGAACCTGCGACAGCGTTTTCCCCGTGTTCATTTTCTTACCATAGAGCATGGCAAATTTGCTTTCACCTGGAGGTAGAAATGGCATATAAAGAAATTTCGATTTAGTGATTGGAGAAAATCATCAAAACGAGATGTCAGTTTAGCAAAAATTTAAAAAAAATCGAGTTGAAATTTTTAAATACAACAGGCCAGCTTCCCAAATTTTTGTCGCTCTAGTACGCCTGTGAATTCATGGCTAATATTATCTATAAACCTGCTTGTATGATAACGTTATTGAAAGGAACCCATATACAGTAGGAAAGTTGCTTTCCAGATTAATATGATATTAATAATCATTAATATCATTAATATTTGTACATTTTTCTGCTAAAGTTATGGAAACATATGAACTGGTAGAATACCATTTTCATCATTGACTGCTCGTTTGCTTTAAAGGAGCTCAAACTTTCTTGAAACCTTTTGGAGAGAAGAGCAAGATGAAATAAATTGGTATTTACAACATCAGTTAGTCATTTCGTTGGCAGTTTTAACACAGTAGTCTCTCTAAGGTTTTTTTTATAGCTATGAACATCAAATGAACCAGTTAGTTATAGATACATAGAAACTTGTTAACATTAATACAGACCAATAGCAAAAGATTTTGCAGGTAAGCAAAGACGAAGATAATTAATGTTGAAAAGCTTACTGCAACCCAGACAAAGAATTGTTTCCTTGGTTCCTGAACAATGCACCATTTATGTTTATAATATTTTCATGGTTTTTGATGGGGAAAAAGGGCCTGAAGAACAAATTTTGTTATTGCCCTGATAAAATTAAAGCTTTGTCTACATGGCCCTTCTGACATCCCTCGACGTACCTTCTGTTTATTTCTAAGCATGATGCCAAGTTATTAAGCACAGGCTTCTCTTTTTTAAGGTCATCGATTTAGGAATTCTGTCCTGTCCAAAATATTTGACTTTTTTCTCTGTTAGGAGCTCCCCTTTGAATATTTGACACTGCAAAAAGATACATGTTAATTAGATACATAAAAGCAATCGTGTAAATTCATACTGCTAATCAGCAAATTCTGTTGTAACCTGCTGTATCCTAGAGGTATTGCCTTTGTACCACATTTGCAATCAGAAACCTTGCCAGCATCAGTACAGTCAAACTTTTTTATTACAACGCCATATGATAAGAAAAATAATTAAAAAAAAAAAACATTTCTCTTTATTTTTAAATTTTCCAACCCCACAGAATTTCATATCCAGCTCCGCATTTTGAATTCCATCTCCAACAAAAGGACTAAATCCAGCCTAGAATAAGTTCTGATTCGTAATACTTAAGCCTCAAGTAGTAGATACTTCATGTAAAGTCTAACCTCTTGAGAAAGGTACCAGTAGTCGTTTTCCACAAGACCTGTGAAGTGAGCAATCTTAAAACTTTGCTGTTGGTCACCTCGTAGATACTGATCTTTAAGATGCAAAATATAATCAGATAGGTCTGCTTTGGTAATGGCCCCATTGACAACAAAGGCACTGCCAAACTGTGCAGTAACAGTCTCAGTGAAGACTTTTCTTGACTCGAAGACGCTGCTGTCAATCACAATGGTCCTGCAGATGTAAAGCACAACAGTCCAGAGGTAAAAAATTTTGTACAAAAGAGTTGAAGAATTTTTCAATGGGCAATGCTAATGATTTAATAGCAAATGATTTCGCACAAAACTCTACTGTTTAACAAAAAATGGAGGAGTCCCTGTTTAAAAACAAAATATTTTGCAAAAACAAAATAATCATTGGATGGTCATATTCATGAAGGCCTGCAACAAAAAGTAAATTTTTATACCTTCACTTCCATGAAAATTTTCTTTCAAATATATGCTCTTCTTTCCAGCTTCTGTGTTAAGTCCTTGCTTGCGTTGACTCTTTCTAATCAATGGAGGAATTTTATTTAAAGGGACACGAAACTTTAGCTGATAGTTGCTCGCGAAAGTTGATTTTTCAACGATGTGAAGCTTGACAATCTGAAGAAAGTCTTCTAGTGGAACCTCTTCGGCAGAAGCGGCTTTGCTTATTGGTCCAACCTAAGTAATAGAAAGATTATGCTTTTTCATCAAAAACTACAGAAAAGAAATCTCATTTTATTAATTATCTTATTTCATTATCATTGTAGTTTTTTGCTGGCCTTTTTTGCATATCAATTGTATGTGTCCTTTGAACGACCACAAATATGCTCCCACCCCTCTGAGTTACATTATACTAAAAATTCTTATGATGTACTGATTGACAATGAGTTTCTGCTTGTTTTCTTGTCAAATTGAAATAATGAATAAAAGGTTTCTTACTTCATACAATGAACAACAGTTTTTTGCATTTCCCTCGCCATAGTAAACCTCACCAGCTATACCACATACTCCACCAAGCACATCATCCAAGCTTCACGTTGTAATGGCTTCGAAAGCATAGAACCCTCTGTAAAGCAGCTTTGAGAGAAAGTCCAACTCGTTCCTATAATAATTATTGCATAAAATTCAGATACAAATTTGAACAGTAAAGACAGAGCATCAATAGATACCGAATATACTATCCAAATAATTTAGACTTTAGACCGATAAACCATGCCGGCTTTGGCCCCCTTGCACTCGTTTATCATATCCAGAATACCAACTTCAAAATAAGATAGCAAGCACAATTTTTTTGCTTGGGGGCCCTTAATTTTTTAGCTGAATTAGTTTGTTATGCTACTGTGGAAAGTACCACATTTTGACAGAGAAATCTGAAGCGTGCTTTTTTGATATTCGATATTACTTGTTTTTTATACATATATTACGCAAAGGTTTTTATTATCAGGCAGGAAAGGAATTTAATGACTTGCCACTATATGCAAGAAAGATTAAATCTAGAACTATTTTTAGACGATTTTTAGAAACTCATTTTATTTGATGTAAAATTATTTTATCTTTAGATTGGACTGTATTGAACTCTTGTAATCCGTTTTTGGATCTTTTACCATTAATTTATTAAGTATCAGGACCCTAATGATAACAGTATATATTGTACTGATAGGTTATCCTGTTAAACATTCGATTATTATTATTATTATTATATATATATATATATATATATATATATTATGTATACAGTCAATATGACCAAGAAAGTGAGATTTGCAAATACAAAAATTCATCAATTTATTAGATAACCTGCATTTTTACAAAGACCCTTTTTCTGGATGCCAATAAATACAAAGAACCGACACTCAAGGGTCTTGTAAACCACATTACCAGTAAACCACAAAAGATTCTTACAAGAATACTTTCCGTACATTTTTTGGAAAGTTTTCTCTATTTAAGTCATAGAAACAACATCATCAGTTTATCGGATGATCACAGGAATCTGCAAATTTTGATTAACTCTTTTACAGACAAGGAAAGGCATGAGTAGCATTAGCTGTTCAAACATCAGCTGTTAGGGAAGACTGGCACAAGCCTACATACGACAAGGTATTGAAAAGGAGGGGGGGGGGGGAGCAAGTGGACACAAATATATATATATTTATGAATTTGTTGCTAGGTATTACAAATCCTATTGAATAGAAAATAAAAACAAAGCTTTTATGAGGTTAAGTATTGGAATCTAAAAATGCCTGTTGTGCAAGAGACAGCAAATTACGCATCTTTGCATCAATCATGTTGCTAACAGGGAAGCCTTCCTTCAAACCTTCTCTCCACTCTCACAGTATGTTTAAAGATATCAATATCTTATAATGTAGCTTCGCATTTCTCAAAATTTATAATAAGAATTGCAAGGCCTCTTCTTGTCTGTTAAACGAGATAAGCCCTGTTTGAAAGACTCTACTCCAAGATCCGGAATAAGCTTGAGATGTATAGCTCTGTATACTGCACAGGTTATTAACAAAATGTAAGACTTGTGCATATTTTCATCAGATCCATAAATTTTCTTAACGAACAAGGGACCTGCAAGATCTACTCCAATTCTTAGAAAGGCAAAATCACTTTCTAAAGGAAAACTTGGCATTTCGTACCCTCTGTGCTGTTGGTATTTCATAGCCTCTACCCTCTATTCTCTTGCACGTACAGCACTTCGACAATATGCTTTTTACCAATTGGCATCCTCTTACAATCCAAAATTTTGATCTCAGTTCCGTCAATGTTTCCATCGTTGTGTTTTACCCTCTTGTGTGCATGTAAAACAAGCAACATGGCTAAATGGCTGTCGCTTTGAATCAGTACAAGGAATTTCGATTCGACCGGTAACAGCGCATTTTCCAGTCTACCTCTGCAAGGCAGTTATCCACTCTTATCCTCAATTAACCGCAAAGTTGAGGATTTAGGAGCGAACCCCGAACTCTCTAAAACGTCAACGTCTTGTCTCTATATCATCCTCCTGTATCTTTTTCTTCTTCTTACTGGCTCTTCCGTCTTAATTCAAGACATTAGCCTTGCTACTGTTCTCTTCCATTCCTTTCGCTCATAATCATTCTTAGTTAGTTCATCCACTGTTTAACTTAGTTAGTTCATCCTCCTGTATAAAATCAATAATTTTGGCATCTATGGATTTCAAGTCTCGCAGTGTTTCTTCCAGATGCAATCCGTTTGCAACAAGTTTATCCTGAACCAAACTGACGTAGTTTTCCAGCAATTCGCGTACGGCTACTGCAAGTTGTTAGAAACTGGCTCGTAGGCCTCTTCTAGTAATAAGTTTTCTTTTACACTCGCCATAAATTATTGAATAACTCAAACCAGCCAAGATTGCAGGTCATGGCACCATGTTATGATTCCTTAAAATATCGTGAATGAATACACAATTTACTCTGATTCCTCGCAGAGAATGTGATTCATCAAGAACAACATGTCTTTGTAAACAACGTCTTGAATTGGAAAGAGTGAGCGAAGAATATATACAAGTTAATAATAAGCAAGTATCTCAAATACAAACGAATACAAGCAAAATACAACCACCAGTTGTTCTCAATTCTCTCATCTTCCTCAACATTTGACCTCTCTCCATCACCAACACTCGAACTTATTCCTCCAACTCCTTCCTTGTTCATTATGCAAATTTTTCTTACTTCACGCATAGAAATTTTCCTCTTTTACAACAACCTGTATAAATGCATAAAACCTTATAATTAAATCTAATTTAGCCGTACTCCCCAAAAATCTGGCGGTTGTTTGATACTGGATAGGTATCTGTTGAAAGACAATAATTGGGGAAGATTACTTAACGGAATATGTGTACGAAATCCCAAGATTGTTTGGTGACAGTCGAGACAACTTTGTTTATTATTTCCTTTTCCCTGAACAGCTTACCAGCTTTGTCATGGAAAGGTTTAATTTAAGCTACAAACTCTCGACAGGCAAATTATATTCTTCTAGTGAATCAACAAACACTGTACTCTTTGTGGCCTTACAACATGCGGAAGGACAACTTTTACCCTTAGGCAAGCCATCTTGTTTTCAGGGAGTAGACCTGCCATCTCATTCCATGATTCAGTAGAGTTCCCATACAGTCTAACTGTAAGCATGCAGGGAAAAATTGCATTTTGTAAATAAATTATGATTAGCTGTTTTACGAATTTCGTTCAGAACTCTAGGAGATTTTTGGTTACAAACACCAGTTTTTAGCCTTTTATAAGGCTTCAGTATGGGGGTGAAATCTGGAACTTTACCCCAGAATGTCAAAACATCAAGAGACCCTCAAAAACATATGAGATACGTTGTTTCAAGTCATTCTGTGAAGTTTCCTCGGATTTCGTTCAGAACTGTAGGAGATTTTTGGTTACAAACACTCGTGTTTTAAAACGTTTTCTTTGCCTAAACAGTAAGGCAAGTGCTGGGACATGTTGCATCTGTTTCTTTATAAATCGCAACAGAATTGGAAAATATTTCAGGTGAGAATAGCTTGATAATCTATATTTTTACTTGCCTTTCATGTTTCTCTGATTGTGAGTGGGTTCTCTAGAAAAAGAGTTTTGTTCGCGAATGTGTGAAAGTTTCGTGAATGTCTAATTCTGGGCCTAAGTGTTTTCATAGACACATTGAAAATGTTTTTAGAGGACCGAGAGACTCGCCTCAGAATCTTTGTTTACTGAAACCAACTTTGATATTGAGTTTTCGATTCGATTTTATGCAACGTTTTATTTTGTTACGGTTCTAATTTTTCTACACGGAACCAAAATTTTCCGAATGTCTAAACGAGTAGGCAAATGTCTAATCAAATGTCTAATTGAATGTCGCATTGTAAATTGCCGACCAATTTTGCAATATGCCATTATTTATGACAAATTGCATATGCCAGAGACATGTGCCGATTATATTGAGAATAATAACAATTAAAATAATAGCAATAATAATAATAGCAATATATTCGTATTTGCCCTAGTGTCCGAGCTAAAAGCTCAGTTAACATGAAAGGTATGTTTACTAGGCTTGTGTTATCCACTACATACATAATAACTTCATATAAACTGTGAGACACAAGATTTAGAAATCATCCAATGTGAAAATGTAATATAGAACTTATTGTATCTGATCATACGCAAGGGCTGAGAGAAAATAGATTCACATGAACAACTTCTCAACCCTGTGTCTCCATATATAGTTGGCCATTATCAAATTTGATATCGAGCACCACTGTAATGTGCTCTTTACAATCAACTTATCTACTGACAATGATCTCATAACAGTCCAAACATCCTTTTTTATGCAACCAAGAGAGCCAAAGCAAAGCACTTTCAGATCCACCTCCCAACCTAACGACTGCAGCAGACTGCATAGCGGCTGATACCGTTTCTCTTTGGTGTTCAGTGCTTGCTCAAAATACAGATCGTAGCAGACAGTCACCTCTAAGATAATGCATTTACGTGACTGAATGTCAATGATAATGATGTCAGGTTTACGATGCGTAATACGCTGTAATTCATCACCATATTCCGTTATTATTGATTCTGCAAGTTTGTTTGCATGAAACTGGAAACCAATTATACTTCCTGAGATCACCTCAAATATTTTGTCAGCAATTCGATTGTGACGTCGACTATAAAAGTTGTGAAACTCTCTACATCCATTCATCAGATGTGCGACACTTTCCGTGTGCTGATGGCAAAAGGGGCAAGAAGGGTCATTATCACGATTCCATACATGCTTTGTGAAGTTTGTTGGAAGTAGACTCAACCGTGCTTTTATTGCAAACTTCACCAGTAAATCACTTACTTTCCAGTTGTAAAAAATTGAATGGGAGGATTTCAACTGAACATCAGTCATGCAGAGAAAGGGGCCTTGAACTGACAATTGCTTTGCTTTTTGCAAATCTCGATTAACTGTCTGTTTGAATAGCAACTTCTGAAGTGGAGCACCTTCATCAAAAAATTCACCATTAATAATTACTCCAGCCTTTCCTTGCCTGAACTCAATGGAAACATCTAGCTTTCTAGCATATCTCAGAAGATCTGGCCAATCTGATTGACACCCAAATTTGGTACGACTATTCAGGTAGCCGTCTTCACTAATCTCAAACCCAAGGAAGTTCATATCATTATCTGTTGAAGCAACTTTCCGTTTTTCCATATCCAAACTAAGGGATTGACGTGCAATGTTCTTGAACTGTAATTGGGGATGATTCAACATCTTAATGAGAAATGCAACCCTTGTTGACCTATACACATCGGACACACGCTTAACTCCAATCCCTCCGTGCTCGCGTGGTAAGAAGATGATGAGCTGTGTTGTTGTTTCATATAAATCGTACATATTTCGAACTGCCTTCACCAAGGACTTCTCCATGAGTTCCAACTGCTCCTCTGTAAACCTTGTATTGTAAAAATGGTGGAGAATCTTCGCGAGAGCCAAGTTATTTAAAGCACTAGCCTTTAGAGCAAGGGGAAATTTGCAGCTTGTTATTTTTTCCAATAAATCTTTATAACTTCTACAACTTCATACACTTGCACAGCATCTTCGCCGGAAAGTGAGAGAGACTTTCCAAGATACTTATAGGACTTGTCACGGGGATAAACTTCGATGGCATTTCCTTGAATTGACACAGTTGGCTTTTTATCTGCCTTGCCTTTGTACCAGTTATTCCCAGACCTCCTTGCATACATAACTGCACATTTACTGGGTTTCACTTCTAAACCTGCTATCTTCATGGCAACTTGTCCGATATCAAACATCTCATTTATAATCGTTACGTCATAACTGACAACAACATCATCCGCAAAAGCTTGCAATGGACATGGATTAATCCTTCTTTCATCTTCGATGCCCTGCCTGATAACAGCCTCTCTTACCATAGGCTTGCATACTCTGTCAATCACCAATATGAATAAAAGGGCACTCAAAGGGTCACCTGTCTTTGTTCCTCTGATTATATTGAACTCTTTACTCAATTCAAACCCACAAATCACAGAAAACGAAGAGTAACGGTATAAATCTTCGACCAAGCAACAATAAATCAAAGGAATGTCAAATTCCCGGAGAGTTTCAAAAAGGAAACTATGCTCAATGCTCCCAAACGCATCCGCAAAATCCACAAAAACTGCACAAAACTTTGTACTTAAGTGTCTGAAATCATCCATTGCGGCTTTCAAACTAAAAATCAATTCCTGTCTGTCACGATCGGGCAGGAAGGCACGCTGCCAAAAAGCAATCTCATTGGATATGTGTGGGGTGATTCGTTTACAGATTGCTTTCAAAAACACCTTGTAACAAGTGGGTAAAAGAGATACATCCCTAAGCGTTGACAAATCATTGATACTAAAATTCTTCTTGGGGATTCGCTGAACAATTGACTTTTTCCATGATGTTGGTATTTGCAAATTTACAAGCACAACGTTCAAGATATTCACAAAAACATACCCATTTTCGCTAAACATTTCCTTCATGACCTCGTAAGTAACCCCATCGGCACCACAACTCTTCCCACTGGGGCAGCCTTTCACAGTAGATTCAATCTCATCATAGCTGAAAAAATGACCATAATTCACAGATGCCAATGCCTCCTCACGATCAAAGAATGGAGGTACAACACCTTCAAAGCCATTAGAATCAGCACATTTGCTCGACTGAGCGTAATAATCCTCATTCCGTTGCACTGAAATTATAGCATTCTCGATGTTAGGCCAATAGCCGTTGTTCCTTATTACAGCTATCGCCTTCTTCCTTCGCTGTAACCACAAACAGGTCAGCTTTTCCTTTGATACTTCGTCGCTATTGTTATTCCCTCTTCTTTTTGACGAAAAGAATGGTATGATTGTATTGTTAATGTATTTCAATTGTTTACTTATGTACTCAATTCTATCCACAGCGTTATTTATGCAATAATTGTCATCCCTTGGGAACAGTCGCAAACCACGGCAAACAAATTTCAAAAAGTTCACGCTCCACTGCGACCCATTCACCCTCTTGGCCAAGAACTTGTTGTTTTGGTAAAATATCCCCGATAATATCTTTGCAACTTTAATCCAGTCACCAATAATTCCACGACAAATAAAGTCTCCGTGGTTCGTCCTTTTCGAAGCAAAAAGCGCTCTGAATTTTCGTTCCCTATCCTGAAAAGCTCCCCACTCGTCTCCATTCAATAACCTGATATCATCATAGATTTCCTCGCAATCAAAATTTGAGTCGAACTTGGTTCCAACAAAAAATATCTTTCCTCCTCTTATGGCTGATTTAATTGCTCTTTTTAGCTTGACAATCATGAATATTAACTTGATGTAGTGAATAACAGCATTAACGACGGCAGTTACGACGGATTACGTGGAATTTTTAAACTTCAGACAGACGCACCATTAGGCCCGACTGCCCTCCATCGTCACCAAAAAAAAATGTGGGGCATACCCATGCATTTAGACAAAAGACCAAGCAACATAACATAAAGCCTGATGTGCTGATAATTGACAAAGAAGGAAAAAAGATCAGTTTGATAGAGGGGAATATATTTGCACCTGGATCTATTGCCAAGAGAGAGAAAGAAAACCAGACAGGTACTCTGAAATGAGAAAGTCTCTGGAAGGGTTAAATCGTGGATACGAAATAGATCAAATCAATGTTGTATTTGACTTTCAAGGCTGTTACAGCAAGCAATTGGAGTGTCAAATCAAGTGAAATCAGGTGAGTGTCAAATGACTATGTGAAGGAGAAAAGGAGGCAAAATTAGTAATCGAACAATGTCAAAAATGGGTACTCAGCCAAAACTGCAAGATTGTTAGAACTTTTTACGAAAGAAAATAGAACAACAAAAATAGTCTGCCTAGGCATTAGCCAGCAGTATAGTGGACTCAAGAAAAAGCAACAGAAACAATTTTGACAATATAACAACAGATGTTAACAGATGCACATAACATGGCTATTCTCTGTTAAATAATAAGTAAAATATAGCCCTTAGTTTAAGAAATATTGTCCTGAAAAGATGTTAAAAGAAGTTTCAATTAAAAAAAGTTTCAATTATTTGAGAAGTGTCATAACATATGTGAAGGATTAACATGATGGCAGTCAAGATCAATCCAGTATGTCTCCACTTGTCCCAGATTGGTGCAAATGTGGTGTTTGCATCAACCTGGAAAATGATGATGAGCAAGTATGCTGCAATCGTCAAGTATGCATCACTTCATAGGCAATGCTCAGGAAGAATTTTCTTTACATGGATACCCTCAATGTTGCAATAACAAAGCAAGCTAACTTTTATTCAGAAGATATTCGCTTTGAAGCAAATGTCTTTTTCAGGTTGGCATACAGACAATGCAGTTTATGGAGATATGGGAAACAAGAAAAAAGAAGAAAAAAACCTGACCCTCATGTGTAGTTATGATAAGAAATACACACCCCTCACCAGATGATAAATATTTGGGGTTCAAATGTCATTAACCAAAATTAACCGAAAAAGGCATTTCAAATTATTTTGTAATACTGCTTTGAACTTTGCCTTGCAACTCACATCATGCTTTGCAGTGACAGCACTGACATGCCTTACTTGTGTTGCTCAGCATTTTAGTTCAACAGTTACGACCAACAAAGCTATACAGGATATATATTTTGAAGCTCATTTTGCTTGTTTTTCTACATTCACGTTTTCTAATATTTTCTTGGCATTATAGCTTTTAAACCGAATAACCTTGCAGATTTTAAATAGACCTTCGCATATCATTAATTTGTCCCTTGAGCCATACCATTATGTTGCACAAAGGCAAAATCGATTGATGGAACTCCTTTTGCAAATTCTTTCGCTTCGTTCAGGATGGATTATCTCCTTTTGGTCAAATCCAATCGTACCTGGATGTCATTTTTTGCCTTGCCTCTGTTGCGATAAAGCATTGTTCGTTGCCTGAATGATTTGAATTTAACTATGATCTGTTGGCTCACAACTCCATTATCATCAGTTCTCTTTGAACCAATGCGATGAGCGTGATCGATATCATCGGGATTCAGACCACAGTTTATATCCTTCATGATCTGTTTCACTTTCTTTTCACAATTCTCTTTTCCTCCTTGCTTTGGCAATGGAACATTCACAATACGAAGGCAAGAGCATCTACTGTCTTGCTCATTCTCATCTGATTTCTTGTGAAGGTGTTCTAAGACTACCATTGAGCTTTCCAATGACACTACCCTTTGCTCCAGTGTGTCGACACGTGAGATGAGCTCGTTGACTCTTTCCTGAACCTTCACTTCAATTTTTCCCTCATATTTTACGAGCAAATTAGCAAGCATGGCATCAACCGTTTCTCTTGCTGGAATTTTAGCCAAGTCATCCCTAATTGGAGCCAAGGATCTACAAGGTTCTACGACGTTGAAGGAAAAAACAGGAAGCCCTGAAAACTTGCCCAAGGAAGCACACAACCTAGACGAAGCTGAATACGCTGAGTTTGAAGAAGAGGAAGACAACAAGGAAGCACCAAGACAAGATTGGCAAGAATTTGCCTCAAAAAAGGGAAGAGAAAAAGAGGGCGCAAAGCAACTTGGCCGGAACACATTGTAAACAAAGTTGTTGGTATAATATGCGAAAATAAAAGCTACAGGAGAAAGCTTGTTTTCACAAACAATAAAGCCTCTAAAAATTTGGAAATCTATCAGAGGATCGGAATCTATCAAAAGAGGTTCCATGCTCCACAAACGTTGAACTCTCGGGAGACACTTGCATGATCTACTAATGATCATTGGCCTATTTATTCCCCTGTTTTGGAAACAGGCCATCAACACATGCTGAAAAGAGAGTCTTACTGTTCGCCTCCATGCTTTCAGTGTCTCCAATACCAGTCTTTGTTGCGCTTTCTTGCGTGGAATACCTTCTTTTCGACGAATATCAAATCGATTAATCAAGAAATGTATCACCTTTGCCTATGTGGGGTCCATTTTACCACGAAAACAAATTTGCCACTAAAGATACGCTTTTGCTGTCTAAATTCAATTCAATTCGTTTCGCTGTCTAAAACCAAACACCAAATTGAAGCGCTCTACGGGTGCTTTTTGAGCGCATCTAATTGAATTCGCTGCGTCCATAACGTGTTGTCTAAACTGTCGTGCTGTCGACAAGTGCT